CCTAATGAGGTATCACAAGAACCGGTTTTCAGCACATAGAAACCCAGGTGGAGAAAGCCCGGCATCGGGTTCGTCAAGCCCCCCGTCTCCTTGAACATATTGGTGCTGAGGCCAAGCAAGTTTGGGTTGGATTTGTAATTCATTATTTATTAGTTACCAGACAAATTATATATCAAGTCTGCCATGGTCAACCACTGAGGCCTCTTCACCCCAAGCCTTTCCCCAACCTTTTTGTGCCAAAAGTGAGCTAAACAGGCCCGGTCACCCAGCACAGGACAAACACCATGTTGTAAAACATTGCCGGCCAAGGCAACAACCGTCCCAGGGTCATAAACAAGGCTAAACCCGAGCCCGGCTAAGTGACACCGGCCTCCTGTGTAGTTTCTGATGGTGAGCAACAAGTCAAAAGACTCCCTATACCCCTTTAGATCTCGGTGATTGATCGTCTCTCGGTTCAGGATGACTGAAAGACCGGTGAAGGGAGTGGCCCAAACGCGAAGAGCAATATTGATAGGATTGTCCAATGCCTCGGCATGATTGGCAAGCTTCTCGAAGGTGGCTAAACTGGACTCAAAAAGATCGGGTTGTATGACAGCATAGATTGCGCCAACAATTGCATTGGCCAATAGGACATTCTGGAGGTAGGTTGAATTGGCAGGTTCCTGAATATCGGCTGACGCGCGCAGTGGATCCTCGGGACCTTCATGTCCTTGAGAAAACCAGCTGGGTGATAAATTTACAATCCCAGTGACCCCTTCATTCTCGGGGTGGTGATCCCGCCAACTCCCATTACTTCTCTTTTTGGGGCTCAAAGAACCTGTGTGATCCCAAATAAATGTCTAGTAAAGTGAGGAAAGTCTAAGGGTGTAATGAAGTGAAAGTAATTACCCGAAGCTGTTCTGAGAACATTTCAGGAAAGTACCAAAGTAAAATGTGACCCTGCTGGTCGGTTATATGGCACGGTTGATCGAGGTAGGGGATATCGGACCCGGCTGTTTCGTA